CGCCTGGCCTCCCGACTGGATCGGTTACACCCAGATCGGGCAACCCCGGAGGCCCCGGGCACCGAGACGTACGAGCCGGCCAGAGGGTTCTTTCCAGAGGACCCGGTGTACGCCCGAAACTACGGCCGGGGGCCTCAATGGATCCCAGCCCGAGTCATACGGGTCAAGGGCCCCCGTTCATACGAGGTCTCCAGCGAGGACGGCCAGATCCTCCACCGGCACATAGATCAGCTGCGCCGTCGCACGCTACAGCTGGACCCTGAGGATCCGGACGAGGACCCAGAGCCTGCCACATCGGCCCCACTACCGGAACCGGATCCACAGCCGCCTCTCCGTGAGGAAACCGAGGCGCCTCCCACCGTGGTGCCAGACTGTCCTGCCTCCTCGGCGCCCTCGTCGGTCCCAGGCCCCTCGGCTCCCAGGGCCCCCGAGACCGAACCCATCGCTACCCCGGAGCCCCGACGCTCGACGCGCCCCAAGAAGCCACCCGCCTACTTGAAGGACTTCGTCTGTGGGTGCCTTCTGAACCAAGGGGGGAGGGGTGTAATGTATTCAGCCTGACATGCCCGGACTTGCCCGGGCTGGCCAGGCACAACTCTTCAATAGCTTCATGTCCAAAGACAATGGGTCCGTAGGATCCTAGCCGGCCCAATCAAAGGGCCAGCTTCTCAGCCGGGAGACCAATGGTCGCCCGGTTACTGTAAATAGCCTATCGGGAGTAGGGGGTGTGTTTAGGTGTACTTGGTGGCGGGTTTTCTGAACATATATAAACCGGCCTGCGAGCTGGTCCCTTCGTCTTTGTCCTGAACTAAATAAAGGTATGCTTAGATGAAATCACTCTCCGTCTGCATACTTTTCACCCAGGCTAAACATACCCAACTCTTTCAGCCTTTCCTCCTAAGACTTGGATTCCAACCCTCTCGCCATCCCGGTTGCCCTCTTCTGGACACGCTCGCGCTCCAGAGCAAACTTAATTTATGCTCACAACGTGTCACTGAGGGGAAGCCTCATAGCATGAGAAATGGAAAGGAAATTGTGTGAAAGTGTGTTCGAAAATCCAAGAGGGCCAAAGGAAGATGCTGCCCCCTCCCTTCGCTTGCGTGTTCATAACAAAAAGAGGAAAGAGGCTTACACAGGGAGGAGACGGTCTCATAATTTTCCTCCATCACTTCCCAGAAGACTTTTCTTTGGCCTGGATCCAGCAGAGCCCATTCCTCCTTCGTGAAGAACACGGCGACGTCCTCGAAGGACACTCGGGGTCTCTGAAAAGAGGAAGATATGGCCCAGTGCACCACCTGTTCCTGTCCCAAACCATTCAAGCAATGGTCCCATTGCCCACTCAACTGATTAAAAGAATGCAGTCCATCAAACCAATGGCAAGAAACATTGCACTAGGGTGTTTTTTTCCCCCAGCACCTGTCAGTAATAATATACTGAAAGTCTCCAAGAAATACCAGTTCAGAAAATTGCACAAACTGGCTTCTCTGTACATTGCTCAGAAATTGTGCGCACAGCAACTGTTTTGTATTCTTCCCTGTCTCGGAGACTCCAGCCACGCATTTACCAAATGAAGGCATCTGTCTGTCATAATTTAGTGAATTTCAGTACTGAGACACCCTTATGAATAGGCAGACATAAGACTCCTGTCAATGAACATCCAGGAAAACTGTAAAAAATGTTCCCCTACAGGCTTTTCCGTGTTGCCCTCCTTGCTGTCCAATTTGTGACCATTCGTTTGTCCTATGCACATCGTATGTATATTTGCAGATCTTAAAGTGACTATCCTAAAAGTGAATTTCAGAAACAGGATACAGCAGGAGATTGCTGAGATACCATTATAACCACTGGCCAACTCTCACCTTTTCCTAAGTTTTGCCCAGCCCAGGGGCACAAGAAGAAGAAGGGGGAGGAGGAGATTGGATTTATACCCTGCCCTTCACGTGCACCTGGCTGGATGACCTTGGGCAAGCCATAGTTCTGTCAAGAGCTGTCCTTGAAAAAAGAGCAGTTTCTGTCAGAGCTCTCTCAGCCCCACCTGCCTCACCGGGTGTCTGTTGTGGGGTGGGGAAGGGAAAGGAGTTTGTCAGCCGCTCTGAGACTCCCTTGGGTAGTGAAGGGCGGGGTAGAAATCCAATCTCTTCTTCTTCCTCCGCTTGCACCTGGCTGGGTGACCTTGGGCAAGCCATAGTTCTGTCAAGAGCTGTCCTTGAAAAAAGAGCAGTTTCTGACAGAGCTCTCTCAGCTCCGCCTACCTCACAGGGTGTCTTCTGTTGTGGGGAGGGGGAGGGGAAGGAGTAGTGAAGGGCGGGGCATAAATTCAACCTCTTCTTCTCTTCTCAGTTTGGTGTAGTGGTGAAGTGTGCGGACTCTAATCTGGGAGAACCGGGTTTGATGCCCCACTCCTCCTCCACTCGCACCTGGCTGGATGACCTTGGGCCAGCCGTAGTTCTGACAAGAGGTGTCCTTGAAAAAGAGCCGTTTCTGTCAAGAGCTCTCTCAGCCCCACCTGCCTCACAGGGTGTCTGTCTGTTTTGGGGAGGGGAAGGGAAAGCAGTCTGTAAGCCGCTCTGAGACACCTTTGGGTAGTGGAGGGTGGGGTAAAAATCCAATCTCTTCTTTTTCTAATCTGGGAGAACCAGGTTTGATTCCCCACTCCTCCTTCACTTGCAGCCTGCTGGGTGACCTTGGGCAAGCCGTAGTTCTGCCAGAGCTGTCCTTGAAAAAGAACAGTTTCTGTCAAGAGCTCTCTCAGCCCCACCCGCCTCACTGGGTGCCTGTCTGTTGTGGGGAAGGGAAGGGAAAGGAGTTTGTCAGCCGCTCTGAGACTCCGAGAGAAGGGTGGGGTATAAATCCAACCTCCTCCTCCTCTTCTTCTCCTCCTCCTCATAGCAAACCTTCAGACCAGTTTCCAACTCAAGAGATCTTCTTGTGGATGATGCTCACCGGGCTCGTAGGCCAGAGAAGGAACCCGCATGGGTTGCAAGCAAATGCAATCCCCAGAGCAAAATAGGTGGCCCAGCGCCCCTGTGGGGGTGAGCCCGTGGAGGCTGCCCAAAAGAAGAAGAAGAAGAAGAAGAAGAGAAGAGAAGAGATTGGATTTATACCCCGCCCTTCACTACCCAAAGGTGTCTCAGAGCGGCTTACAAACTCCTTTCCCTTCCCCTCCCCACAACAGACACCCTGTGAGGCAGGTGGGGCTGAGAGAGCTCTTGACAGAAACTGCTCTTTTTCAAGAACAGCCGTGCCAGAACTACGGCTTGCCCAAGGTCATCCAGCAGGTGCAAGTGGAGGAGGAGTGGGGGAATCAAACCCGGTTCTCCCAGATTAGAGTCCGTGCACTTAACCACGACACCAAACTGGCTGCCAAGGCAGCCAGCTAAGGGGCGACAAAACCGGGCTGGGTCATCAGAGGGGGGGTTGGGTTCCGTCGGAGTTTTAAGGCCAAAACCAGGTGCAAGGAAGGCACGAGAGCGGGTGGGGGGACCAGAGACCCCGTGCCCAGATCTCTCCACGGGATGCCCCCTCCTCCTCCTCCTCCTCCTCCCGGCCAGGCTCCCTTCCCAAAGACTTTCTCTCCCCTCCTCCCCGCTTCTCGCCCAGGAGCTGCGTCAGAGACCCCTCCTCCTCCTCCTCCTCCTCCTCCTCCTCCGCTCACCTTCCCTGCAGCCATGCAGGAGCCGAAGGGCCCCTCCCGCCGGGGGGAGCGGGAGAGC